GAAGAAGCCTATGGCAGAGCACCTGTTCAGGCTGTCAGTAATTGGACCCGCTAATTCTGAGGCATCTATTGGATATCTACAGGAAACATCAAATGGTTAGAAAAAGAATCTAGAGTTCCAGAGAAAGCCAAGCTATGGTTGTAAAGATAGTAGAGATATAAATGGGAAGGAAAGAGGACCCAAAGACCAAGATCACTGATACAGGTAAGGAAAAGAACAAAAGCTAACACATACTGAGAAAAAGAAGTCATTAATATAGTAAGAAGCCATATGAGAAGACATGATTTCTAGGAGAAAGGAATGGTCACATGTGTCAAGAAAGATATCAGCTGGCAATGGGCATATCAGTATGCTGGAGATCGTTGAATTGGGGATACTGGGTTAAATAGTGTCTCCCAAAGCTCCTGTCTACACAGAATCTCAGAATGTCACCTGAGGAATGGAAGAGGTCTCCACAGCTGTATTCATTTAATGCGAGGTCATATTGGATTACAATATGTCCTAGGTCCAATGACTGATGTTCTTATTGACAGGCCAGATGAAGCCTCTTTGAGGACACACAAAGAGAAAGCCTCTTTAGAATGGAGGCAAGAAGTGAAGTGATGCCTCTGCCTTGGCAGCCTCTAGAATCTAGGAGGGGTTAGAAGGAATTCCTCTCTGCAGCCTTCAGAGACCAGCCATGTCCCTACCTGAACCTTCACTGAAGACGTCTGTCCTCCAGAACTGTGAGAGAAGACGGTTCTGTTGTTGTAAGCCGTCTAGTCTGTATTGTGTGGTTATAGAAACACCATAAACGAATACACTTGATAAAGCTCTTAACATCTCTGTGCCTTAGTTTTCCCCACTTATAAAATGGGGGTGACAACAGTACATACCTCAATATGGTAGTAATGAGTAATATTTAAAGATCTTAAAACAGTACTTACAAAATGCTGTACAGTGTTAACTATTAAGCTAATCCTTTTGCTTTGAAACTAAAATATTCACTTCTTTAACTTCTCAATTAGCTCCTTAATTTAAGAGATTACATTTCCATAAACTTTTAAACATCAATTTCACACTTAGTCAAATTCTCTTAAACATTTTTAAATAAAGAAAAAAAAACCCCACAAATCTATCAAGTAAAATTCTCCAAAATACTTAGTCACTGTTAAAGCAGTTTATTAACTAAATTTCCTTGAGCTAAAATTGCCAAATTAAAATGTGATTATATCAAATGCTTCAAACAGCAAACATTGTAGGTATTAAACAAAATGGTTCTCACACACTTAACACTTTTTTAAAAAAATGTTTTACTTATTTTTATTTTATGTGTATGAGTATATTGCCTGCATACACGTGCACCCGTGTCGTGCAGTGCCACAGAGGTCAGAAGAGGGCTTCAGATGCCCCTGGAACTGGAGTTAAGGATAGTTCGCAGCCACCATGTGGGTGCTGGGAATCGAATCCGGGTCCTCTATAAGTGCTCTTAACCACTGAGCCATCTCTCCAGCCCCATCACACACTTAACTCTTTAAAAAATTTTTTTTGATTCATTTATTTTTGTTTTATGTGCATGAGTATTATGCCTACATGTGTGTAAGTGCACCTATGTTGTGCAGTGCCCACAGAGGACAGAAGAGGCTGTCAGATCCCCTGGAACTAGAGTTATGGACAGTTGTTAGCTGCCATGGGGTGCTGGAATTCAAACCCAGGTCTTCTGCAAGAGCAGCCAGTGCTCTTAACCACTGACCAATCCCTCCAGCCCCCATACTTAATTATTAAAAATGCTAAAAGAAAAAAAGGTTTACACCTTTAGATCAAAGTATCATAAGCATTACAGCATCTTTAAAATCAAGTTTATAAATTTAGTGTAATAGATGGTCTTGAGCATTTAGACTTTGAATATAGGTTTAACTAGTTAAAGTCAGTGTGGTAACACAGTCCTATAAGGCAGAAAGACTGCCAAGAGTTTGAGGCCAGCCTGGGATACACAGACACCCTGTCTGAACCAAACAACACAAAAAAAGAAAAAAAAAGTTCTCCTAAATATGTCCATTAAAATTATAAGTTTAGCAGTTTCTAGTATAGCAGATTGTTACGCATCCAGCTTGTAAAACAAAGAACGCCTGTAATCCTGGATACTAAGGAGACTGAGACAGGAGGGTTGTGGATTCAAGGACAGCCAGGACAACATAGAAAAACCCCCATCTGAATAAATGGATAAATATCTGCACACTGTGGTACAAGTTCATGCATATAACCACTTGAGGGGTGGCAGCAGGAGGAGCAGGAGTGTAAGGGTCACCTCAGTTACGTAGCAAGGTGGGGGTCAGCCTGGGCTACATGGGGCCATGTCTCAGAAAAAAAAATCTAAGTACATGTAAAGTAAAACTTAGAACAAAATTAGGGCAACAAAATGCCCATTTCTGAATAAATACACTTGCACAAAAGCTTCATTATTTTATCACTTACAAATCTTATTTATTATACTTTTCTCATGTTGCAAAGTTACTTTTCTAATGAATAGGAATAGAATTATTAGTTCAGGTCTTAAAGTACAGATGGCTATTTATTCAAGTCCCAAAATACAGAGGGAAAAACAACTGCACAGAAATGAGAGAGCACAGGTTGCCTCTGAGGGGAATTTTACTCATGCTAGATATTAACAAGTCAAGTTCCTCCATTAGGAGACAATCCCAGACTTTTGATGTGGAATTTCTCTTACAGTCAAGTGTGGCACATATGTCTTTGAACTTCCATTTCTGCCCAAGTTTATATCGTGATATTTTTCCTTCTTATTCTGTGATTTTTGACAGATGGCACCATGTACACACCCACATGTATTTCACTCTCTTCGTCATTACCCTTGACTCTGTGACCATCTCATCATTGCTGTGAGCTCTGCAAGAGTTGGGTACACACTGCTCGTCTTTGTGTCCCTGGTGTTCATCACACATTCCTGGTGCTCAATAAATGTTTGTTGAATTCGATGATGAATAATGCATTCATATAAATTTGGAGTCGCATACTCCATGTGTCTTCCCCTTGACCCTGGTACATTGTCATTTTTGCATTGTAGTAATAGCTAACTTGCTGCCTCATCTGAAAAAGTATGATAATGCTTATCTTTGGAACCCTGCCTTCATTAGCCCTTGTCATACCATGGTGGCTAATGCACCCTTCGAAGTGAATAGCAATACATGTCACACACACTGACTTTTACCCCTTAAGGTCAATTGACAATGGACTTATTACACTTTCCTGTGAAGTCTGGACTGTTCAAATTCTTTTCTAGACTGAGACTCCTTTCATGATTTTTTAAAAAATGCTTTATTATTGTATTTTATGTGTATGAATGTATTGCCTGCATGTGTGTAAGTGCACCTTGTAATGCTTGCAGAAGTAAGATGAGGGTAGCCGTCAGATCCCCTGCAACCGGAGTTATAGACAGTTGCTAGCTGCCATATGGGTGCTGGGAACCAAACCTGGGTCCTCTGCAAGAACAGCTAGTGCTCTTAGCTGCTGAGCCATCTCTCCAGTCCTAAGATTTTTTAATTATGTGTTAGTATGTGGGTGTGTGCACAACTTTGGGTACCTGCAGAAACCAGAGTATGTCAGAGTCCCCTGAAGTTGGAGTTAAAGCTTGTTTTGAGCCACCTGATTTGTGTGCTGGGAACTGAACTCAGGTCCTCTGCAAAAGCAGTACATGGTCATAAGTGCTGAGCTATCTCTCCAACCCCTCTGAAACCCCTTTATAGAGAAGCTGTGTCATGGAATGTGCATGCAAAGCACAATACTTTGCCATCTGGGCTGTGTTTTTTAGAGCATGTATTTGGACCCATAAAGACATCATAGCAGATTCTGGTCCTGCATTTTCTCCCCTTCTCAACTCCATTACCTCACTAGGAAAATTTAACTGAACTGTCTGACATAAATGGTTAGAGTAGGGATTAAAGGAAATGAGGTATGCAATGCCCTCAGGATGGAGTCCAGGTACTTAAGTGCCCAATTAGTGGCACTTATTATCCAAATGGACATTGCTGTTTTCCAGTCTGTTACCCTGAGTGCCTGACAGGAATGCTGTTCCATTTACACCATTTCTTTTGTCTGTTTATTCCTTGACAGTGCGAGTCATACATGTATATAATGAATTTTAGTCCTTTCACCCACCTTGTCTCACCCCCACGCCTCCTACCAAAGCCCTTCTTCCCAACAAATCTTCCTCCTGCTTTCTTGGGTAGCTTACAAGGGGCTACACCACTAAAGAAAGTGACACACACACCCCCAATCACCATTAACTCTCAGTAGTCCCTCAGAGATGGATGGAGCCTCATGAGCCCTTTCCCTGTCCCTGATGAAGTGTCGCCAGGCCCAACCTTGTGCAGGTCATGTGCAAGTAATCACAGCTGTGATGAGTTCATGAGTGTACTGGCCATGTCATGTCCAGAAGACACATTCTCACAGTGCTCCTCCAACCTCTGGCTCCTACATTCTTTTTGCCCTTCTTCCTGAACCTTCGGTGGAGGCAGTGATGTAAGCATCACATTTAGGACTGAGCTCGAAGATCACTTATCTCTGTACTTTGACCACTTGTTGTCTCTGTATTAATCAAAGTTGTTCTACTTTGTTTCTCCATTGCTGTGACAAAATACTCTGACCAATACCAACTTGTGGAGGAAAGTGTTTATTTGACTTACATCTCCAGGGTCACAGTTCATCAGGGAGCCCAAGGTGGGAACTCAAGGCAGGAACCTGGAGACTAGAGCCCAGACCATGGAGGAATGCTGCTTACTGACTTACTCCTCTGGCCCATGCTCAACCTGCTTTCTTATGCAACACAGGACCACTTGCCCAGGGGTGGCACCACCCACAGTGGGCTGGCCCTGCCACATCATTCAACAATCAAGAAAATATCCAGACATGACCAGTCCAATGGAGGCAATTCCCCAGTTGAGGTGTCCTCAACCCAGGTGTGTCAAGTTGACACTAAAGCTATCCAGCACAACAGTCCACTGCAGAAAGAAGCAGGGGAGATACCATGATCATGAAGGTGGTTTTCCCAGGGTGAGCCTCATCCATTGCACTCCAGATACACCGACCCCTACAATTTCCTCAAATGTGGGAAACTTGACTGCATAATTTGTAGGAGTACGGGGACTGTGTTCACACTCTCCCCTGTTTTAAGAAAAAACTTTAAGCTCATGTGCTGAAGACTGAGCTATACTAGTCTATATGTATCAGGATTATCAGGATAAGTGTTTAGAAGTCTGTTTGATACCATACCTATCTAACAAAACAGTAGGAGGCTCTCCCATAGGGCCTATGTCCTCCCTAGCCATGGGTTCTTGGTCAGATTTACAGTACCATATGCACTTTATTTCTTTAACATACTGATTCTAAAAGGGGAAACCAAGAGTGAAAAATAAAGGATGTCCTCTTAAGTGAAAGAAAAACACTAATCTGATTATAGGCGGGAAGGATGTAGTGATTTTTCATATACATATTCATAAAACCATATTAAACAATGGCCAAAAATGCTGATATTTTTGTGCTTCTTATATTAAAAACATTTAAATATGCATATATAATAATATTAAGTGCATATAAAATTGAATCCTACAATAAGATTCAATTCAGTTTTTGACAGGCTTCTTAGTTCAAAGCCCTTAGAAACTTCCTGCAATCAAAACTCATTTTCAGATTCGCAGGGAGATACCATCTGCTGCAGCACTCAGGCTTTTTCCCCGTTCCTAATTTGGGGTCAGTCTCAATGCCCTGTCTCACATCAGCTGTCATTTTGGTGATTGAAGTGTCACTGCACATTACAGTTTTCATTGGGATAGTTCTCATCTTTGGTTTCAATTCAATTTAATTCCAATCAAATCCTCATGTCTCAGGACAATTGAATTCACTTAAAAACCTTTCTGTCCAGATAGGATTGTAACCAGTACTTCCTATCATGCTGCTGAATTTCCTGGGACCTTCCAAACCCAGAGTGCACCTGGAAGGCTACTGGGTCTGATAACAGGAGAGTGTGGCTGAGCTTGATGGTGCCAGCACTGGAACCAGCAAGAGACTGTCTTCCAGAGCTCAAACCACCATTGCTGTCGCCACCTTCCCATCCCCCGCTGCACCCCATGGGCCAGGGCTATCCCAAGTTAGAGAAAAATCTTTCCTCAAATCTCTTTTTATGAAAATATCGCATGAGAGACAACTCATTGGATGTTATAAATTAAAAAGATGTTATGGTGTATTTGCTTGGTTTTGTTTGTTGGGATTTTTCCAGGCTTTTTTATTTTTTATCCCCAGTGACAGATAAAAGAGGACTGGCTGACAGCATAGGTCATCCATGCCAGACTCAAAATCACCTTTCTTCTGAGACAACCTAATTACTTTTTCCACGCCTCGCCTGTACGTACAACTTTCCTTAGACTACATTTGCTTCTCTTACAAGGCTGTTGGTAGAGCTGACCCACCATTCCACTGGATATATCGAAACTCTTTTCTCTTGTCAGCCTGTGGGCTTGATCCCTAGCCACAATATTTTAGAACCTAAGAAAACAAGGAATGCTGTGCCCAGACAGGACACGTCCCAGAAAACTCATTCGGGAGAAGGGTTTCCACCTGAGGCAGAGGAGAAATCAGCAGGCCACAACCTTCCTAGGGGCTCTGCCCGAGCCTGGTGATTATACACACAAACCCACCAGATGAGCAAAATGCAGTTGCAGAGGTCAGGTGGGAACTGCAGTCACAGGCAGCATGGCCTCTGCCAGTGGCTTCCCTGAAATTAATTTCTACAAGTGGCTGAGGCCCCTAAAGTATACTCCAGGCAAGCTATAACCGACCTGGGACAGAGGTGACCCCGAGATCTGCGCTCCTCTTTTACTGGGTTGTTTATGCACCAGAGTAACCCAACAGGCCTGTTCAAATGGAGAAGTGAAACCAAGATTTTAACAGGAGATGATGAGATTGTCTATAGAAATGGGGGTCCAGTGAGTTACACACACAAGTCACCAACCAAAGAATGAGGTAAGAAGCCTGGGACATGAAACCTACTGCATGCTACTATCTGGGACTCGGGTTCCTTAAAGGCAACACCTCTGACTATTGTTGGAATGTCTAGAAAGCTAAGACAGATACAGCTCTTCTCGCATATCAGATATATAGCTTGGCCCCTACAGTGTGCATTTGGGAATGATGTGATTGCTGAAGCTTGGATTTTGAAATTAGGAGTCTTTGAGTTTAAATCCCAAATGGACACTTATTCACAGTGTGATTTTGTGCTAATCCATCTCTCTACATCTCTGTATGTTCCAAAGAACCTTGTATTAGTTACTTTTCCGTTGCTGTGGTAAAACACCATGACCATAGCAATTTATAGAAGGAAGAGTTTATTGGGCTTACAGTTCCAGAGGGGCAAGGGACCGTCATTGTGGGGGAGGCATGGCAGAAGCCACTTGGATCAGAAAGCTGAGCACTCAAATCCTCAAGCACTTGCAGGAAGCACAGAAAAGCAATCAGGAAGTGGACAAGGCTATGACCTTTCAAAACTTACCCCCAGTGATGTGCTTCCTCCAGCAAGGCTGCACCCTGAACTGAGGCCAAGTATTCTAATATTCAGAGCCAGTGGGGGCCATTTCTCATTCTAACCACCACAAACCTCACAGGATCCCTTTAAAAGATTGTAAACTTCATATCCTAGTACCTTGCACAGGTGGGTACTCCAAAAGGGGCAAATGGGCCCATTGGCTAATAGCAGCATAGACCACACTCATTGGGGGGCTGAGCCTGTTGACTGCTTGCTTTTACTGATAAGAAAGGATTCAGGTGCTGTCAAATGCTGCCTTTGAGAATAGATTTCACAACTAAACAGGACTTATGGGACCCAGGACCTGATGTAGGCTATTGACTGGAAAGTAGAGTCATTTGGAAGTTACTCCAGAATGTGGCCCACAGTCTGGGAAATTTATATTTGGATCCCAATATTAAGACAAATAACCATATGTCCTTTCTTGCTACCCTCAAAAATACCCCTTTCCTGACAGGTGTGTGCGTGCTGAACATGTTAACACTTCAAAGCTAGCTGGCTTTCCCTCTACAGTGTACACTCTGGCTTTACTTTCTTTGTGTTTTAGCCTCACATGTGAACCTTTGATTTCTGAAATGCAGTGTAAACATTTCAGTTTGAGAATGCTTGCTGCTCTCTCAGGTTCTGTGTAAAATCTTATTATGATATCCTTGAAAGAAACTTTGTTTTTTGTTTCTCTCTCTCCCTCTCCCTCCCCCTCCCCCTCCCTCTCCCTGACAAGCAGCTATGACTGCTTTTGCTCACTGATGCTCTGTCTTCTTCCTACAATCTTCAACCCTAATCACTCTATCATGCTAAGGATGCCTTTTAAGACAAGCAAACTGAAGAGATAGTGACAAAGCAGAGAGTGTCTCACTTTCCAGAAAGATCTTGCTTAGTGATAATAGCTGGCTTAACTGAAGAAAAGGTTGGACCTCCCCCTCCTCCTCTCCCCCCCTCTCTCTACCTCCCTCCCTCCCTCTCTCTCATCTGTATGTATTTTAAAATGCCCTGAGTTAAATTTTAATTGAATGCCAGGCTCAATGTGCAACACAAGAAGGCTTGCATATTTAAGACTGTGGCTCCATCAAGTAAGCTCATCCTTCAGGACTGGGATCATAGCTTAGTGATAGAACACTTGTTTAGCATGCCCAAGGACCTGGGTTCCATCCTCAGAAACACACATACACACACACACACACATACACACACACACCTGTCACAGCTGGGGAACAAGAATTGGGTGTTATGATATTGCACCACTCAGACCCCTTTCTCCAGCCCAGTCATACTCGCTACACCCCAACTCCTCACACTACAATCCCTCAGTCCTGATGACTCTCACACTGTCCTGTGCCTTTTCCTGCCTCTGCATGGGCTCTCTCCTCAGGCCAAATGGCCCTTCTCTACTGATGACTCCTCTTTGGTCCAAGTGGTACAGCTCAAAAGATACACTTCAGCTTCCTCCCATAGATCCTCTTAGTCTCCTCAAAGGAGAAGTTTATGTGCGCCTCTATGGTCCATTTATTACTTTGTGAATCTATTGAAATCTCACACAGTCTTCGTTTTCCTGGCAGCCATCACAGCACCTGGTGCTTGTTTGGTGCACATTAAAGATATAAGTGAAAACCAAGTTACTCTTTGCTTCTGCTTCCCACAGAAACGGTGACTATGGAGGAGAGGATTGCCTGTGCCAAGGACACAGCTGGACCACCGTTTAACAAAGATCTTCAGTAACTTCTCCCATCTCGCAACACCCGGATGACTCCAGTGACGAAATACTCAGCTGTAACCACAGCAATAACTGGTCTTCTTTCCAAATTGGGTTTGGTGAATCTGAATGGTTCACCCACCTTCATCAGGTGGCCCTGGTGAAGTGTTGTGGGGGGAGCTCATCTCTCACCGTCAAGAACCAAGACTGGACTATGGAAGAAAGCAAGAGCATAGAGAGAGCCCTAAGAGTACCAGGACCCAGTGCTTAACATAAGGCCCTTCGTTATAGAGACAGAGTACCTGGCAGTGCTCAGTCTGGCATGATGTTATTTGCTTGAATGCCCTGGAAGGACTGAACATTTAAAAATATATCCAGGTGCTAAATAGGCAGCAGATTTCAATCCAAACTCTAATAATTGTGAGCAAATGACTGTCTTCAGAGAATCATTTCACCCCAGCTCCAGCCCTCCAAGGAAGAGCCCCAAGTGAGTAATAGGACAAGCAGATCATTCCCCTGGAGGGAGGCTCGTGTAAGGCAAGTTAGTTCATAGCAATTCACTGCCCCTCCCACATACATGGCAGAGCCCCACTTGACCATGGCCCTCTTTTCTGCTAAAGCCAGACTCAGATTCTAGAACATCATTTCCAGGTAGCCAGCAGCCAACTTCCTTTCAACTGGTGGCATTGCTAGAATGAACTTGGTCATCCTCATTAGAGAGGCATACCTCTCACAGAATGTGCATTCTAGAATATTCTCTCCCCAGGCACATTTGCCCACTAAGGCAACAGGCTCAGAAGGGCAGCATTGTGTGACATGAGATCACTGAGAGATGAAGGCACAGCTTTGGGGCCTTATGGCTGAGTGCCTCTATGGTATCTCCATATGCAACAGCCCAGGTAGAGATTCCTTCTCACTCCAGATATAAAGCACTTGCTTAGCCCTTGGGGAATGGAAATACCTATGAGTGTGAAGGTCGAAGGCTCTCCCCGGTAGCTCATTCATCGCCCGGAGTCCTTTCAGAACAATCTACTGCCAGTTCCACGCCTCATCCTAGTTGCCTCTGCCAACACAGAAATGAAACCAAAGGCCTCAGCATACCCTGGGCCAACCAGGAGCTGATACCTGGAGGTCCTCTCTCCCTCTCTCATTTCGGATGCAAAGCGCCGCCTCCACACATCTGTACCATGGCTCCTATTTGCATTTCTTTTCTCACAGCCTCTTTGTAACAGAATCCAGGGTTGGGTTGTAGTTGACCTTCCTGGAAGCTGCATTATCCTTGGTTCAATTAACCTTTCATTGTAGGTTGCACTGGGTAGAAGCAGCATCTCAGTGTTGTCAGAAAGTTCTGTTGCCACACAGGCCTAGTGCCAGAAACCCTACTGCTGGTGTCTAGTCATAAAAGAGTGAAGGCCTTTAGTTAAATAAGGCAGTGTTATTTCACTCAAGCTTAGTGCCTGCCTAAACCACTCCCATCTCTTACTGGCTTTCCCTTGCAGGGATTCGAAGGGAATCTCAGTTCTGCCCATGTCTGATAACATGAGAAAAACACAACTTCTTTGCCCAGCATCCTCCTCTACTTGTGCCTCCCCGTTCAGACACCCTCTACCATACCAGTGTTTAGAACCAAAGCATGAAGGGTGAGTGCCAGCAGGATAGCGAGTAGAAATATTATCACTAGGTCCAGGCAGATGAGCCCAGAAGAATGGTCCCAAAGAAACCAGACTGATTACAGCAAAAGATTATCAGGCAGCCATTTCATTAAGCTTTGACATGTCCTTGGCAAGGGAGTCTGGTTGAAGATCCTGAAGTAGCCTGTTGTTCCCACCTCAGGATCTTCCTACCTAAAGCTAGCAGCTCTGGGGTACGAATATGTAAGCTACTGGCTCAAAGATGGCTTTGCACGGGCAATCAGGCAAAGAAGACTTCCTACATGGTGAGCAGGTGGCTTTGTGGTAGCAAGCTCTGCCTAGCCAGTACAGCTGTGGCCAGAGGCTGACTATAAATTTAAATTCCCTCAGCCCATTTGCAACTCTGCCTCTCTTCTCTTGTGTTCTGTTTGGTTGCCCTTTAGTTTCCTAGTAAATGTTCCTTTTGAAAAGTATGATTGTTGTCTCATTGAATTGGGGGAAATGCCAGCATCTTTTACAGAACAGAAGAACACTAAAGTACATTGAAAAAAGAATTAGAGAAACACTTTGATCAGATCTTAGGAAGAGAGACCTTGGGGAGGGCTGGTGCGAAGAGAGAGGAAGAGGCCAGGTGTCCTCCCACCTTGACACCAATTCCCAGTCCTTCCTCTGACTGACCTCCATTCAGAGAACTCTGCCCTGGATGTGTTTTACCTCTAAAACACCTCCCTAGCCAGTGAACTGGGCTGATTCAGTGGGTGGTGTGATGTCCAAGAAGTACATGGGCCCCAGCAGAAGGAAGAGTCAGGGAGTGGGGAGGAAATGAGTGGTTTTAAAAGGTAGATGCTTCCAGAATTCTCTAGCAACTCTTCAAGGGCCATCAGTATCCAACTTTTCATATGAAAAGAAGAAAGTCATTCACCCTTAAGGAGAGCTAACAAATATGGAAAATGCCTTGCTATTTTTAATGGTTATACTGTCCTGCACTGGTGGACATTCCAGTTCTCTATTGTCTTACAAGAGAGCACTACAATACACAGTGGGCATTTTGTTGTTATGTATTTAGGAGATCTCTCTGTGTTGCCTAAACTGGCCCCAAACTCAGACTCTTCATACTTCTCCCTCCTGGGTGCTGGGATTACGGGAAACCACCATCATGCCAGGCCATAGTAGCTTAAATTGAGATTTTTGTCTTTTCTGATTATGTGGGTTGGCTGGGCTTAGGTGCTCACTATCTCCTGGAGTCTCATGGTTTCTGTCAGATGGCAGCTGGTGTCCTCTGAATGCCTGATCAGGCTGGGTGTCATGTCTGCCTCCTCAGCTGGGATGACTAGACCAGTTGGAGAATGGTCCTCTCTCTCTACATGGTAAGCTTGGGCTCCCTCACAACAGGGAGCACTCACCATAGTCAGTCTTCTTACAAAGAAACCAGCCCCCCACCCCCATTCAACATCTTAAGAAGGCCAGGTTCTTCTAAAGAAGGCAAGTAACAGTCATTTCTGTCACGTAGAATGGGACAAGACCAGGGCAAGAGAAAGGAATTACACAAGACTGGAAACCAAAGGACTCAGCAGGGTCACCTTGGGAGACGGTGGGGACAGGAGTGAGGAGGGGGAAGTTACTGAGTCAAAGGACTGCCTTGGCTTTCACTTTTTTTCAGTGATGAAGGTAAATCCAATCTTGAGCATTCTAGTCCAATGCTCTGCCACCAGGTTACGTGCCCCAGGCTAATGGCTGTTACTTTTTTTTTTTTTTTTTTGAGACGGTCTCCTGGTTGCCCCAGGTGGCCTGGAATTCACTATGTAGACCAGGTTGTCCTCACACTCACAGAGGTCCTCCTGCCTCTGCCTCCTGAGTGCTGAGATGAAAGGCATACACTATCACACCCAGCGGCTGTCACTTTAAAAATGCACACAATACTTAACCTGCATGGATGCTTTGGGGGATGGTCAAGAATAGAGGCGGGAAAGGGCGGTCAGTGGACAGTTAAATAGCATAAGCTAAAGAAAAGCACCCAGTTATGACTGACGCAGCGTAACAGAAACCTGGAAGAAAACCATGATTTCTGTCACTACACTGACATCGCAAAAGTTGGAGCTGGATTCCTGCTTTTCTTCCTTCTTCTCTGAGCCAAAGTAAAGGTGCAAATAGGATCCCACCATGCTTGGGGGATAAAGTGATAAAAGTGCTAAGTAGAAGTTGTCTGTCCCTCTTATGAAGACTTTTCAAAGAACTATTGCACTTAATTAAGAAGGAAGGATTTTTCCAAACCTCGGTTGAACTTAACTCTGTGCCAGCTACCCCTCACAGGAGGCCCTAACTTCACTCAGGTTGTACTGTACCGTCTGGGTGCCCTGCCCTGTGGAATAGTCTAGCCCACCATTCATCTCTACTGCACTACTCCTAATTCATCTCCCTTGCTCGAACTTTCACAACAAGAAGATTTCTTGGAAGAACGGAAATGAAAATTGTGAGAAAGAAAATAACCAGAGAGAAATTTCCCACCAGTGGAGAAAATTGCCCCACAAAGGAAGACCTGAAGCAGAAATCCAAGAAAACCCAGAAAAATGGGGCTGCTTGGCATTCTGGGAGCTGCAGAGGGTGAGCCCATGAATTCCTCTCTAAGCCAGTGACACAAAAGCTCTGAGCAGTACAGTGGTCCAGCCTGGGGTTCCCGATGGCAGGCGTAAAGCTCCTTCTGTTTTGTCTCCCGCATAGCAGATCAAGCCATTCCCATTCCTGTGACGGGAACTCCCACTCAAAAGACTTAATTGTTGCTGTCTGTGTCCCTTGGGCAAACAGGCAGCAAAATTCAACTAGCACACCTTTAATCCCAGCACCCCGGAGGCAGTGGCAAGCAAATTTCTGACATCAAGGCCAGCCAGGTCTCTATAGTGAGTTCCAGGCCAGCTGGGGCTATATGGGTAACCTTGCTCAAAAAGACAAAAAAAAAAAAAATCAATTAGCTGCAGGATCTTCTCTGTCCCAACTCTCCTTGGTAATCATCCTACTCAGGTCCAGGGGCCCTGACCCTAGAAGGATGATGCCATGGTTAAAGAGGGCCCCCAAAACCTCAGTGGGCCAGGGTCCAGCCCTGAATTGTTGTCTTGGCTAAACTTCAGAACCATCAGAGTCCCTAGTTCATCCACACAGTCCCAAACTCACAGCAGACAGTGATTCTTAGAGCAACCTTCTTCCATGGAAGAGGGAAGAAAAGGCCAAAAGGACCTGGACCAACAGAGCTGCCCTCATATGTCACTGACAAAGCCTCCAGAAGCCGCTTCATAAGACGGATTACACTGAGAACTGGGTGAGTGTTACCAGATGACACAGGGAGTGTGTTTATCAATATGGCACTTGTCGAGGATGCTCAACAGTACATCTTACAGTTTACAGTGGTCTTACTCTTGCCCGTTTTCTTTATTTTTTGAGTATTCAACTTGTGATCCCCCAAAAGTTCACTTCTTTTTCCATCATTGCTGAACTCATCGTAGTTCTTATTCCAGTGATTATCCATTGCAGTTAATTTATTTCCAGACCAGCATTTGAGATACAGGAATATTGAGCAAGCATCATTTTTTTTTTTAATGTGAGAAGATCACTATGATTTATTTGAAATGAAAAACATTAAGGAAGGCTGGGTGTGATGGGGCACACCTTTATCCAAGCACTAAGGAGGCAGAAGCAGGCAGATCTCTGTGTGATCAAGGCCAGCCTGGTCTACATAGTGAGTTCCCAACTAGGCTACAAGGGAGACCCTGTCTCAAAAAAAAAAAAAAAAGGAAAAATTAACACTGGGTATTATAATACCCAGTGAGAGGCACAGAGAAGCACCACATAGGGATGGTCAAATCAAGAGTCCTTCAATAATAGAGGAAGGACAGAGGGGGCTAGTGCCCCAAAGAACTTTTGATCCCAAAAGGAGGCGCAGTGGAGTGAAAAAGCTTAAAATCGGGGGGGGGGGGCAAAGCCAATAACCATAGTTATGTTAGATCACCATAGTTACACCAGACCAGGGGCCATTAACAAAGAGGTTTTCAGTTAAAAAGTTTCAGTTATGAAAAACAAGTTTGTCAGAATTTCAGAAACAATGGGCTGAATGGAGGTGCAGGTGTAGCTGGGTAAGAGGACGTGCTACCAGGCTAGCTGGAAGTTTCCCAGTATTGTAGACACAGGGTACCCCCTGAAATAACAGGTACAGCCAGTCTGGCTGGCTTCAGTTGTCAAGCATGGGGGGCAGGGGCAGAAACATAGGTTAAAGCAAAAATCAGCTACAACAAAATGGAGTCGGTTTTGCTATTTCAGTATGCTATTCCAGTTTTGCTATTCCAGACCAGCATTTGAGATACAGGAATATTGAGCAAGCATCATTTTTGGTCTGGAATAGCAAAACACACACACACACACACACACACACACACACACACACAGAGTGATTGAATCAAAAAGAAGAAAAACATCTTTTTGTTGTTATATTTTAGGGGTTTTTTTGGTGAATTTCATGCATGAGAACTCCCACAATAATATAGGCTATTTTTCTAGCCCTCGGTTGCCTTCCAGAACAGACCAGTAGGTAAGGCTGTATTGCTGAAGATATCGCACAGTTCAGACCCAGGACTTGGAAAAATCATGCTGGAACTGATCTGGAAGCCTCCTCCCTGAAGGCTACCTCTCATAGCATCAGAAGGTGTTGTGCAATCAATGGCTCTGCCCAGCTGTAAAACCACGTACACAACAATGACCAGTCAGCAAAACATCATCTTTTTAAAGTTCATTTTTATTTATGTGTGTGTGCAATGTGTGTGCAGGTACCCATGGATGCAAGAAGAGGGTGTTGGATCCCCTGAAGCTGGAGTTACAGGCAGATGTGAGATGCCTGATGTGGGTGCTGGGAACTGAACCTGAGTCCTCTGCAAGAGCAGCCAGTGCTCTTAACTGCTGAGCCATCTCTCCAGCCCTGAAAGCATCGTCTTTAAGATGCCGCCTTTCTTGCACTTCAGATAAAAATTCTTTTTTCATGTGACAGCATCCAGGGGCTTCATTTTGGGTTTACCTAGATTTGAATTTATCAAAGACAACTCCTGCAATTTGCCAAACACAAAGCTTTACATACAAAGAAAATAATAAAACAATTTCTTCAAATACCTGAAGATACTTGTCAAAGTTTCAGAGATGTGCTTATAAACTATAAAAACTGGTAGCTAAGCCTTCCAGAAGCAAATCTTACCATCACTGCAAAATAGTAATGATTTCAAAAATACATATTTTTCCTTGAGGAAATTCATGCTTAAAATAAAGCTTTCAAGTAATATTTATCTTAAAAGCACACTAGACAATACAAACAAGAACTCAATAAAGAGAAATGTTGTATACTGCACATGTTCCGTGTGTATGTGTGTGTGCATGTGTGTATATGTTTGCATGGTTGTGGGTATACATGTG